GGGGCCGGGGCCGGGGCCGGGGCCGGCGGGAGCGACCGGCGCCGGCTTCGGCGGCTGCGCCGGGTCCGCCGCACGCTCGACGCCATGTATCCCCTGCCGGTCGAGCAGGTGGCCGCGGCGCCGGACGAGCTGGTGATCTGCCGCTGCGAGGGCGTCACCGCCGGTCAGATCCGCGCCGCCGTGGCCCACCCGGGCGCCGAGGAGGTCAATCGCGCCAAGGCCTTCTCGCGGGTCGGCATGGGCCGCTGCCAGGGCCGCGTGTGCGGGCTCAACGCCCAGATCGTCACCGCCGCCGCGCGCGGCTGCACGCTGGAGGCGGCCGGCCGGCTGCGCGGCCAGGCGCCGGTCAAGCCGGTGCCGGTCGAGGATCTGGCCAGCGCCCTGCCGGAGCCGCGCGATGATTGACGCGGAGGCCCGCCCCCTGCCCGCCCGGGTCGACGTCGCGATCATCGGCGGCGGCACCGCCGGCTGCTCGGCGGCGCTGCATCTGCGCCGGCGCGGCCTTTCCGTGCTGCTGTTCGAGCGGCGGCTCTGCGGCAGCCAGGCCAGCGGCGTGAACTACGGCGGCGTCCGCCAGCAGGGCCGCCACCCGGCCGAGATCGCCCTGTCGAGCCGCGCCCGCGCGCTCTGGGACTCCCTGCCCGAGCTGGTCGGGCACGCCTGCGAGTTCGAGGCCACCGGCCACCTCAAGCTCGCGCGCACCGAGGCCGAGATGGCGGAGCTGGAAGCCTGGGCCGCGATGGCGGGTGCGCGCGGCATCGCCACGGAGCTGCTGTCCGGCAACGCGCTGCGCGCGCGCTACGACTACCTGGGCCAGGCGGTCTACGGCGGCTCGCTCTGCCCGAGCGACGGCCAGGCCAACCCGCGCCTGGTAGCGCCCTACTTCGCGCGCGCCGCCGAGGCCGCCGGCGCCGACCTGCGCGAGCACTGCGCGGTCGCGCGGGCCGAGCGGGCCGGCCAGGGCGAAGACGCCGGCTTCCGGATCGAGCTGGCCGACGGCCGCAGCACCCGCGCGGGCGCCCTGGTCAACACCGCCGGCGCCTGGGGCGCGGAGATCGCCGCCCAGTTCGGCGAGCCGGTCGACGAGGGCGTGATGGCCCCGAACATGCTGGTGACCGAGCCGGTCGGCCACCGCATCCGGGTCAACTTCGGGATCTGCGGCGGCGACGTCTACCTGCGCCAGATCGCCCAGGGCAGCATCATCTTCGGCGGCGGGCGCGGCTGGGCCGACCGCGACGCGATCAAGGCGCGGCCGCTGGCCGAGAGCAGCCGCAGCGCGGCGCGCGCCCTGCTCGACCTCATGCCGTTGCTGCGCCAGGTCCGCGTGCTGCGGTCCTGGACCGGACTCGAGGGCGTGATGCCCGACCAGATCCCCGTCGTGGGGCCGAGCCGGACGACGCCGAACCTGTTCCATGCCTTCGGCTTCTCGGGGCACGGCTTTCAGCTCGGGCCGGCGGTGGGCGCCGTGCTCAGCGAACTGGTGGTCGACGGACACACGCCCACGGACATCGCCGGGCTGGCGATCGACCGCCTGCTGCCGGACGGCGCCGCGCCGCCGCCCGGCGCGTCTCAACCAACAGCACAGGGAGGTTAGACAAGAACATGCGCAAGAGCTGGATCACCACGACGGCCGGCGCCGCCGGGCTGGCCGCGGCCCTGGCCCTCGGCGGCCACGCGGCCGCGGCCGAGACCGTGCTGCGCGTCGGCATGGGCGCCAACGACGTCGGCAGCCTGGACCCGCACATCTCCTCGGGCACCCCGGAAAAGGCGCTGTTCGGCTGGATGTTCAACGGCCTGGTGCGGATCGAGCCGGGCCGCGCCGACCCCAGCCACATCGAGCCCGACCTGGCGACGAGCTGGGAGACCTCCGACGACGGGCTGACCTGGACCTTCACCCTGCGCGAGGGCGTGCAGTGCCACGGCGACTACGGCGAGCTGACGGCCGAGGACGTGGTCTACTCCCTGGAGCGGGCCGCCGACCGCGAGCGCTCCAACTTCGCCGGCGACTACGCCGCCTTCGAGGCGATCACCGCCGTCGACCCCTACACGGTGGAGATCCAGCTCAGCGAGCCCATCCCCACGGTGCTCGGCCTGCTGGTCAACTACCAGGGCGGTAACATCGTCTGCAAGGCGGCGGCCGAGGCCGCGGGCGACGACTTCGGGCGCACCCCCGTCGGCACCGGCCCCTTCATGTTCGAGTCCTACACGCCGCAGGACTCGGTCGTGCTGGTCGCCAATCCCGACTACTACCGCGGCAAGCCGAAGATCGACCGCATCGAGTACCGGATCATCCCCTCGGTCGCGAGCCGCGACCTGGCCTTCCGCAACGGCGAGCTGGACATCACCTTCGGCGCCGCCGACAAGCGCTGGTACGAGCGCATGAGCGAGGTCGAGGGCGCACGCGTCGTCGCCTTCCGGCCGGGCGAACTCTACACCCTGCACCTGAACCAGTCGACCGCGCCGCTCGACGATCCCAAGGTGCGCCAGGCCATCGCCCATGCCATTCCGCGCTCGGCCATCGCCAAGTACCGCGGCGAAGCGGTGGTGAACCTCGCCGCCTCGGTGGTGCCGATCGGCTACCTGGGGCACAGCGACGAGGTCGGGCTGTACCCCTACGACCCGGACAAGGCCAAGGCGCTGCTGGCCGAGGCCGGCTACCCCGACGGCATCACCCTGGAGGTGCTGCAGACCTCGCTGCCGGTGATGCGCCAGACCATGGAGGTCGTGCAGGGCCAGCTCCAGAAGGCCGGCATCACCCTCGACCTGCAGATCGTCGACCACGCCACCTGGCACAGCATGATCCGCCAGGACCTCAGCCAGATGGTGATGTACGCCGCCGCCCGCTTCCCGGTGGCCGACGTCTACCTCAACCAGTTCTACGACTCGCGCAGCATCGTCGGCACGCAGAAGGCGGTCACCAACTTCTCCCACTGCTCGGTTGCCGACGCGCAGATCCGCGCCGCCAGCAGCGAGGTCGATCCCGAGCGGCGCAACGCCCTTTGGGCCGAGGCCCAGCGCAAGGTGGTGCAGGATGTCTGCGGCATCCCGATCTACGAGGCGCTGCAGGTCTGGGCGATCAGCGACAGGGTCGAGCTCGGCTACGAGCTGGAGGGCTCGCTCTCGCTCGGACCGGTGATCACGCCGGAGAGCGACATCACCCAGTAGCGCGAATTCCCGGCCCGGTCCCGGCGGTCCCCGGCCGCCGGGGCTGCGCCGCATTCGCCGCCCCACCGCAACGCCTCTCGCCTCGGAGCCGCCGATGGGCCGCTATGTCGTCAACAAGCTGCTGTTCGCGATCCCCACGCTCTTCGCGGTGCTGACGCTCGTCTTCGTGATCACCCGCATCATCCCGGGCGATCCCGCGCAGCTCATCCTGGGCGACCAGGCCAGCGCCGAAGCCATCGCCGCACTGCATGAGCGCCTCGGCCTCGACCGCCCGATCTACGTCCAGTATTTCGACTTCCTGGGCCAGATCCTGCAGGGCGACCTGGGCCAGTCGCTGGCCAGCGGCAAGCCGGTGGCCGAGGCGATCGGTGCGGTGCTGCCCTACACGCTGGAGCTGACCCTGGCCTCGCTGGTCTTCGGCTCGGTGATCGGCATCCCCCTGGGGGTCTGGGCGGCGGTCAACCGCAACCGCATCCCCGACTACCTGACCCGCATCGGCTCGCTGCTGGGGCTGTCCTTCCCCGCCTTCGTCTCGGCGGTGATCCTGCTGCTGGTCTTCGCCATCCAGCTCGACCTCTTCCCGGTGATCGGCGACGCCAAGTTCGACGAGCCCGGCGACCACCTGCGCAGCCTGGTGCTGCCGACCGTCAACCTCGGCATCCTGATGGCCGCCTACATCACGCGGGTCACCCGCTCGTCGATGCTGGAGGTGCTGGGCGAGGACTTCATCCGCACCGCCCGCGCCAAGGGCGTGGCGCGGCGGCGCATCATCCGCCGCCACGCGCTGCAGAACGCCGTCATCCCCGTGGTCACCGTGGTCGGCCTCTACCTGGGCATCCTGATCGGCAACTCGGTGCTGACCGAGATCGTCTTCAACCGCCCGGGGCTGGGCAAGCTGATCGTCGGGGCGCTGGCGCAGCGCGACTACCCCATGCTGCAGGGGCTGATGGTGCTCTACACCGCCCTGATCGTGGGCACCAACATCCTCACCGACCTCGCCTACGGCCTGATCGATCCCCGGGTGAAGTACGAATGACCATGACCGCTCGTCACGACGCGGCGCCGGCCCCCTCGCCGCTGGCGCGCAGCCTGCGTAGCCTCGCCAGGGTCTTCAGCGCCAACTGGACCTCCTGGGTCGGCCTGGTGGTCTTCGCGCTGGTGGTGCTGCTGGCCCTGCTGGCGCCGCTGATCGCCCCGCACGACCCGCTGGAGCAGGACATCCTGGCCATCCTCGAAGGGCCCTCGGCCGCGCACTGGCTGGGGACCGACCACTTCGGCCGCGACATTCTCTCGCGCATCCTCTACGGCGCGCGCATCTCGCTGGTCATCGGCCTGCTCTCGGTCGCGCTGGCCATGGTGCTCGGCACCGCGCTCGGCATCGCCGCCGGCTATCTCGGCCGGCGCGTCGACCAGGTGATCTCCCAGGCGACCGACATCCTGCTCGCCTTCCCCTCGCTGATTCTGGGGCTGATGATCGTGGCGATGCTGGGCCCGACGCTGATGAACCTGGTTTTCGCCATCGCGTTGACCACGGTGCCGCAGTTCATCCGCATCGCCCGCGCGCCGACCCTGGCGCTGAAGAACCGCGAGTACATCACCGCCTGCCGGGCGCTCGGCTACGGCGGCCCGCGCATCATGGGCCGCCACATCCTGCCCAACATCCTGCCGGAGGTGATGGTCATGGGCTCGCTCTGGCTGGCCACCGCGATCCGCGTCGAGGCCTCGCTGGCCTTCATCGGCCTGGGGGTCAAGCCGCCGACCCCGACCTGGGGCGGCATGATCCGCGAGGGCTTCGAGAACATTCTCGACAGCCCCTGGCTGGCGCTGTTTCCCAGCCTGGCGATCCTCATCCTGGTCTTTTCGCTGAACATGCTGGGCGACGGCCTGCGCGACGCGGTGGACCCGAAGCTGAGGAGCGAGATGAACAAATGAGCGAGCGCTCCGAGATCGGCAGCAGCGGCCCGCCGGCCCCGCACCCGGGCGACGCCGCGGCGGAGACGGTCCTGCAGGTGCGCGACCTGGAGGTCAGCTTCCGCATCGGCGGCGCCTGGCGCGCGGCGACCCGCGGCGTCTCCTTCGACCTGCGCCGCAACGAGACCCTGGCCCTGGTGGGCGAGTCCGGCTGCGGCAAGAGCATCACCTGCCAGTCGCTGATGGGGCTGATCCGCGAGCCGGTCGGCCGCGTCAGCGGCAGCGTGCGCTACCTCGGGCGCGAGCTGGTCGGCCTGAGCGAGAGCGCGCTGGAGCCGCTGCGCGGCAAGGAGATCGCGATGATCTTCCAGGAGCCGATGACCGCGCTGAACCCGGTGCACCGGGTCGGCGACCAGGTGGCCGAGATGCTGCTGACCCATGAGGACATCGCCCCCGAGGCGGCGAAGGAGCGTGCCGTCGCGCTGTTCGAGCAGGTGCATATTCCCGCCGCGCGCCGGCGCTACCGCGACTACCCGCACCAGTTCTCCGGCGGCATGCGCCAGCGGGTG